AGACTACCTGTCTCCATTCACAATAACCTAATAAACATGGAGCTTGCATATCTCTGTTTAACCCCTCTGTTTAAATGATAAACTTACCTTAGAATTTAGAAACTAACCTTTGAAAGACTTTGTAACCGTTTGCTCACGTAAATAGAATTAGTTAAAGAATCTGTAGAACCCTTCTGTAAAAGCCTTTTGAAAATCTGTTAACCTGAGAGATACTACCTGTTGTTATGTAAATTTGTTACCCCTGACAATTGTTCACTATTTTCTATAAGTTACCATGTAAGACCTCATTCAGGGCTTTTTGAGACCAACGGAGAGGTCCGAGCCCCCTGAGCTCCCCGCTTTGCCTATAATCTTTATAAACTTATAAAACTATCTTTGTCTCAGTGTATTCTTTTATTTCTTCCATTTTCCATTTCTCTCTATTATTTTCTTATCCCTTGCAACTCTACCAAAGGGACCCGGTTTTTTGCAGGGAACACTGGCCACGTTCCCCGCAGTGGGGGATGGTTAGAAAAGGAAGACGAACCTTCTCTAAATTTAAGCGTGGAAGTCAGAAGGTTAGGAAGCAAGTGATAATTTATGTATCTGGGACAAATATATCTGGGACCAAGGCTTTACCAGCTCTGCAGGCCCCCATTTCCTCTCCCTTCCAGTGATCAAATTGCTCTCTAGAGGCCCCTTTCTTTCTTATTCCTCCGCCCCATACTTTCTGATCTATCCAGCGCTAGCCAAGGCCACACCAGTCCAGGAGAACAAACTGGAGTCATGCACAGCATTGATCGGGATGATTTTCTTGGATTGTGCTTCTGCTGGTTATGGCCAGGGATACACACACAGAATTCCTTCCAGTTATTTCTGAGCACATCCTGGAAATGTCTTATATGAGTGTTCTCCTTTATTGTGTGCTAGTATGCTCCCTTCTACTCAGCCCCCTTTATATTTTCTGCTTTTTGCTGCCTGTAAAGCCACCCAAGTGCACCGTGCCATCGCTTGCTGGTAACAACAATGTATGGGACCAAAATATTATCTGTTTCTCGAACTGCTGGTGCCACTACTGCTGACAAGTTACTAGGGTCTCTAAAATAACAAAACATGGTTGGTACAGTTTAGTTAGTACCAAAGTAGGGAGAATTTTTAGTTCCTTTTAGAGGTGTGATAAATTGGTATTGTTGGTTTCCCAGTATCTTACAATACTTAGTGAAAACAGTTCCTCTTCTATGACTACTTCAAATAAATGAAATACTACATCAATCATATTCATTTTTATTTCTATCAGTGTATTATATTTAAAAAATAAAATTGTATCACTAGGATTATTAATGAAAAACAGCAGACCCTGCCCCAGCCCTCTACACTCTCAATTTCTACTTCTCAGACACAATCTTTTTTTTTTTTTAAATCTCTTAGCTATCTCTTTTGGGATTTATCTCCATATTTCTAAATAGCTTGTTCTTAATTTTTCAGTTTGGGCTATTATTTACTTCCTGCTATTGGAAATAATACATATTTATACTCTAATGCCTCTTCATAAACACATGTATTATTTCTCCATCCCTCAATATATCTGTATCATACGTTATTCATTATATTATAAAGGTATACATATGATTCATAGTTTATCCAATTAGCATAATATGATCGTATTTCCTTTCTTTTAATTGAAGGTAACAATTGCCTCTTCATGCAAACTTTCTTAAGTACCTAGCATTTAAGTATCTATAATTAATTTATCCCAAATTCTCCCCAAACAGTCAAACACATCAAGTAGTCTATTTTTTACACAGGAGACACCCTCCAGGAGTCCATCGTCCTTCACTCTGTTCTCTTAAGTGGACTGCACTGCTTTTGCCTTGGGATAATTTTATTTTTTCTTTCCCATTTTCTAATTCTCTTTGTTTTTCTAAAATATTTCCATCTTCCAGCTCTTCTTTTAAATTTTAAAATGTTATTGTGTTTTAAATTTACTAGAGTACT